GAGGGACTGCAGCGCACGGGTGCGCAACGGGACTGCCCACCTCCCAGGCGCTCTCCCGTGGGCTCGGCGGCTATCGCGTTACGCGCATTGCTCTAGCGGTCTGTCGTTTTTTTACCCTATCGTGTGTACCCCCCCCCCCCCCCCTACTCGGGCCGGGCATGCACCTGGCCGTATCTCTGTCCATCTACTGGTCAGGTCCCCAATCAGCCTGCACACCGCACTATTGCCCTCGGAATACAACAACCGGACGATTTGCTTTTATTGTTTGTCTGGGGCGCCTGGTGGAAAAGGAAGGGGGGGGGGGCGGTCGGCACTGGGGACTTGGCCAGTCAGGATGATAGAAAGAACGGCATGGGGGGGGGGGCAAACTCCCCCGTCCTGAGGGGTGGCTCAGTCCCGCAGAGAGGGAGAGAGAAGGAGAGAGCAGGGAGATAGAGAGAGACGACGCGACGTCAAAACGACAAACGGGACGTGCGATCGATTTCACGTTTCACCGTGGCGGTGCCGGCCGATGGCAGGGTAATGAATTGGTTAGCTAGAGACGTGGCGCGGCGGCGCGGGGGCTGCACGCGTCGCCTTGCTGCCCCTGCGCTGCGGGGCTGCGTCCGGACGACTGAAAGAGGAGCGGGGCGGGCGGATCAGACATGCGAGGGTGCTGCGGACGCGTCCCCAACCTGGCGCGCTCGCCTGCCACCCCAGCGACCGGCGGCGGTGTGTCCCACGGGCCAGTCTGGGATGTCAGACCGGGGTCAACGACTGGCACACATATAACAACTAAAAATGTGTCACGTAATGCACGTTATTGAAACTTGCGCTCAAAGTAGATGATTGGTACAAGCAACGCGTCTTGTGCAGTGTTTATACCCCATCAGTGAAGTGGGACGCATTGGAAACTCTTTTGACGCACTTCTCTCATCAATAATTTTACGCACAGTCACCAGGGTGAAAACATCGCATTTAAAGGTAGGGAGATATGGTGATAGAGTTTATGGTTGTATTTTCCATTTGACGAGGCTTGCCAGGGCGGAAGCGAGTTGGAAGGCTCTCGTTTGTAAACCGTTGTTGAGCGGGAAGTTTTGAAACCGTGTGTGAGTCGGCGCTGTCGGTGCGTTCAGTAATGACGATCCATTTGTCCGAGTCCTGCGATCACCCCATCAGGGGCCGAGGCACTTCCGCGGGAGGGGGCGGGCCGCCCCCGGGCCACCCCCGGGCCGTGGACCCCCACACCCCTCCCCACCGCCATTGACGAAGTCATTTGCGGGTACCGATACCTTCACCCGACAAAAAAGAATCCCGATGACAACTATATAATTTGAAGTGAACCTCCTGTACGCCCGGGGGTAGAATCCATACGACGGAAAGTTTCAAGGCAATAAAGTCCCTAATTCGCGAGGAGTTTCAGGAGTCTTTAGTTTGATTTATTAATTTAGGGCTTTCTTCATGCACCCGGAAATTGTCGGTTCAGACAGACATACTAACAATATCAATGATTATTTATTTAAGCCTTTTTAAAAGGAATTGGACTCTAGAAACGAAGTAAAGCATTTTATATACCCAAGCAAATACCTCTGTGAAATAGCTAATGTGATTTTGAAAACTTTGTGCCAGAATCAACTTTTCGTTTTCCAGCGGTGGTGTGTCGGGCGGGGTTGGCGCGGTCAATAACCTGGGAGAGATTTACAAACGTTAGTGTATCGAGGGGAGGGGTGGCGAAGGGGGTGTATTCATGTGTGAAAGGTGGAGCCGCGCCGGGGTGGGGAACATGTTGTCGGAAGCGAAGCAGGAAGTTAGCTCGGGCTTCCATTAGCTTATTTTACGCACAGAGGTTTAACCCCCGACACCCCACCCCCCCCTCTCCTCTACCGGGCACTTCTAGCGGTATGTCAGTCCGTGTATGAGCGAGTTTAAAAGCTTACTTTACCGGGATGAAAAAAAGCCTTCCGTGTGGGTGTGAGTAAGGGCTCTGAAGTCGGAAGTGAAGCCTGTCCCACCCTCTCGACGCCTCACTCTGGCCTATGCGGACAACAAGCGCCTCTTAGGCGGTCACTCCCCCCGTCCCCGCAGCCAGCTGTGAAACTACCGCGCGCCCACCCATGAGCATTCCATTTGACACACCCCACCCTCTCCCCATCCCCTCCACTACTATTTTCCGGACGCATGGAGGCTTAATTCGAGAGAGTGGTTGCCCCGATTCGGTGTGCCATCGGGGCCTAAGCGACGCTGGCGGTTTTGACGGTTCTGACAACCAACGCGCAGCAACAATTTTCAAAGCTTGCGGTGAATTTGACCCTAAGGTACGGTGGCCCTGCAGCACTGTAGCTTACGGTAAGTTTTCACCGTCCGTAAACTACGGTCAATGTCACTGTAAGCTACTGTAAATGTCTCTGTACTCTGTAAGTTACGGCCAATCAAGGCGCATCACTTTAGCTTACAGTGATTTTCACGGTACCTTACACTGACATTGACCGTAGCTTACAGTGAAAATCACCGTCAGCTACAGTGCTGCAGGGTTCACTGTACCTTTCGGTTAAGTTCACCGTAAACTTTCAACACTTGACATGGCGGAGGCGACGGCGACAACATCCGCGTCACCACCATCTGTCACACCTTTGAGGAGTGAGACGTCGCTCGTTACCATGCGCGTCCACACCCCTCTCCCCTCTCTGATCATATACACGGGACAGTATTATGGTGATTACGGAGTGATTCAGACCCGAAATCGAACTCGCTCCCTGGGGGGTGGGGGTTGCAGACGGTGTGCGTTGGGGCCAAGGGGTGCGGCCCCCTGCCTCACCCCTCTCTGCTCCCCCCCCCCCTTTACACGCACGCACACACGCACACGCACGGTGTTGTGAGATTCATTGTAGCCCCGGGTCGATGTCACACTCGCTGACCGTTCTATAAAATATGCAAACGAAAGCTGATGCAGTTCTACAGATCATATAGTACACCATATGTAGTAGGACTTTCACAAGATGTGGTGACACTAATCTGAAACTGAAATCATGACGTGGAATCGTAAAGCTTTAATGTGAATGAAGTGCGGCTGCCAGACGTTTTTGGGCTCGAATATCCCAGAGCGAAAACTTCGCTTTGATCAGCATAAAAAGAAATAATAAAATCAAATCATACATGATGACAGTCGCAAGCTATAATGCTCCCATAAAATGACACGTGTCAAGCGGCAGTTTAGCCTCGAGTTTAGCACGTTTCCCATGTTCTCGCGCTGTGCCTGCTGTGCTGCGTAACGGAACGGCGCACTGTTCCTTGCAGCCTATGGTCGGCTCATGTGGTCGAGCGTGAATTTCGTTTGTTTAGACTACTTTTCCGAGAGATCCGAATCGAGCGGTATTTGCCGAGTCGGTGAGCAATGAGTGTTTGGAGAGTGTGGCCGCACGCGCGCACCCCACCGGGGGGGGGGAGGGGGGAAGGCAGTGGCCACACTCTGGTGGTGTCCAAAACTCTGCCAGCGACACCGCGCACAACTTCAATGCCGATGGAATCATTTCGAACACGGTGTTGGCTGCGGCAGGGTGGCCGGGCCGGGCCGAGCGCAACAAGTGGCCGCGACGCCTCGAGAAGAGGTGCCCCTCGACTGGTCGGGTCGACTGGTCGGGTCAGTGGACCCGGGCCGAGACGGCGGGACCAAGGACTCGTGTGGCGTCCCAGCCGGCTGCAGCGACAGGGGAGGTGCGAGTCGAAGGATGCGAGTGAGACGAGACAAAAACCGCACGACGGGGGAGATGATTAAAGGCCGATCTGCGGAGCGTTTACCATTCATGACGTTCTTGTGGCATGCTAGCGCCCGCGACGCAGAGACTCGTCTGTACTCGGCATGGAACACCCTTCCCTCAGTTCCTTACGAACAGCAGTGTTCGTATTGCGAAGAATTGGGTTTGTTACGTAGAAATGATCTTAAGCAACCGTATTACGAACGATTTTCCTTCATATTACGAACAGCCCCCGTTCGTAACACAAACCAGGCTCTTCGTAATTCAAACAATTAATTTGTTTGCACTACGAAATGCTCCAAATCCTTTGTACGTTACGAAGAGCAGCTGTTCGTAAGAAACTTGCAGTGAAGTGCCCAAGCTTGCTCATTGTGAGTCACTCTTTTGTCTTCCATGAAGAGCTGTGTGCGGCCCGCTGACGGCTGGGACCGCCTCGGCCCTGTCAGGCGTCAGACCCGCCC